GTGTTAGGATGGTCTCGATCTCCTGACCTCGTGATCCACCTGCCTCGGCCTCCCAAAGTGCCCGGCCATAAGGGTACCATTTTTAATCTTTTATATAACATTTTTACTGTATCTTTTCTATGTTTAGACAAGTTTAGATACACAAAGACTTCCCGTTGTACTACAGTGGCCTACAGTAGTCAGTAACATGCTGTAATGGTGTGTAACCGAGGAGCAACAGGGTGTGCAGTAGAGGCCAGGTCTGTAGCAGGCTGCACCATCTATGTTTGTGTAAACGCACTCTAGAATGTTTGCACAACAAAATCGCCTAATAATGCACTTCTCAGAATGTATCCCCTTCATTAAGCAACCCAGGCCTGTACTTGGTAAGTGGATTATTCCAAAAGCCTCTGGTTTTCTGCCAGCTGCTGTGTCCCCTGACCACACCTCCTCACCCAGCAGTGAATTCGACATGGGCAGGAATAGGACCTTGTTTACCACTGAATCCCCAGCACAGGGCCAAGTCTATGGTGGGTGTCCAGCAGACACTGGTCCCTGGCCGGGCACGGTGGCTCACGCCTGAAATCCTAGCACTTTGGAAAGTTGAGGTGGGAGGATCACTTAAGCTCAGGAGTTTGAGACCAGCCTGGGCAACATAGTGAGACCCCATCTCACGGGAAAAAAAAGAAAAAAACTAAAAACAGATGAAGATGCTGGTTCCTAAATGAAGGCCCAGAACTGAATCTAACTGAACCGCATTCACTTCTGAGTTCTTAGCACCCAAGATCTAGATTCAGTCAAGCATGCAGCAGTAATCGAGGGCCTACTTATACTTTTCGGAAAAATTATTTTTTATGGCCGGGCGCGGCGGCTCACACCTGTAATCCCTGCATGTTGGGAGGCCGAGGCAGGTGGATCATCTGAGGTCAGGAGTTCGACACCAGCCTGGCCAACATGATGAAACCCCGTCTCTACTAAAAATACAAAAAATTAGCCAGGCATTGTGGCCGGTGCCTGTAATCCCAGCTACTCAGGAAGCTGAGGCACGCGAATCACTTGAACCCAGGAGGCAGAGGTTGTAGTGAGTTGAGATCGTGCCACTGCACTCCGGCCTGGGTGACAACGGCAAAACTCCATCTCAAAAAAAAAGAAAAATTATTTTGCATTTACTCTTAACATGATTTTAGTAGCCAAGCCAATCTCGATGAAGGAGCATCTGCTGCTACAGATCATCCTGTGTGCCCTCTCACAGACACCCCAAGACTTCAGGCCTCGGCCTGCAGCCCCTTTCCATGGTGAGAAGCAGCTGCGGGGCCCCTGCAGGGTTGTGCCTCAGCCAAGAGGGGTGCCTCACACATGCCCCTGCATGGGAGGAGGTGGGCTCACTCTCCAGCAGACAGACAAACAGAAATGGCCCCAGGGAACAGGTGAAGGTTCTGAAGCAAGAATTTATTCCAAGCAAACACGTGGGCATGGACACAGCTATCTCAGAGCCTACGCCACTTAGCAGAGTCACACATTTCAAAGCAGGTCACACAAGTCCCTCATGAACAGTCTTCCAGCTTCAGCCCTTCTCTTGCCACCTCTGTGGTCTGAGCTGGGGAAGGGGGAGGGCCTCCTAGTTCCCAAACAAAACACAGGTACCTAAGGGCTGAGAGAAAATTCCACAGCCTTATTTTTATTAGTATCTATCAAGAAAAAAAAAAAATCAAAATTCCCTTCCTGCTCCAACCCCACCTCCACCAACCGGGCCCTCGGGGAGCAGCGTCTGCCCAGTGAGGACCTGCTGCCAGAGCTGTCCTTGGAGCCTGGCCACCTGTGCACGGCCACCCCTCATGCCTGTGAGCCGCCACAGGTCCCTTCCTCCACAGTGTGGGGATGAAAGGGCGGCTGGTATTTCTCCAACCTTCAGCTGTCGGTCTTGGGCACTTGGAAAAGATCAGCGAGGTCCAGCAGGGCTTGGCGGATGTGGTTTCCAAAGCGCTGGGCATTCTGTGGGAGCCAAGAGCTCAGATGCACCGTCATATATGCACCCACCCCGCTGTCCCCACAAGCAGGGACGCCTCCCCGGCCAAAGACACCTGTGTTCCTGGGCAGCCCCAGGTGGCACCCTTCCTCAGGCCTGAGCTGGGGCCGGAGACTCACCGTCTCTGAGCTTGAGAACTTGCTGGAGATGTGGAAGAAGATCGTGTTCTCGCCCGCGATCATGTAGGAAACTCCATAGCCATCATCTGCTACCTGAGGGCAACACGAAGGGTGAAGGAGAAGGGCAGAACTCAAACCCTGAAGATCCGAAAACCAAGCTGATGTGGAACTTGTTCTTCCCACAAGAGTTGCAGGAACGGGCCCCAGCCCTAGACACTGCATTTTTCCTGAGGACCACCCCCAGGAAACCGTGAAAACCAAAGAATGCTGCCCAGACCCCACCAAGGGATCTAGGGCCCCCCAGTTTCCCTCAGGGGGCCTATACTCTAGATCACGCCGTCTCTCTCCAGAGGGTTCTCTAGCCTTCTGACAAACTAGCCCACGAGAAGGCTTCTGTGGGAGACAGCTGCACTCTCTTGGATAAGCAGACTTCAGAAGCACCCAGTGCCCTGCTCAGTACCCTGGAAACAGCCCCAGGCACGTCATGCTCCAGCAGGGAGGTATTTGGGATGGGTGGGTCCCAGGCACCTGGCTGCCTGAGTCCACAGCTAACATTCTGCTTCCGTGCAGGTCTGGGGTTATGCTCTCTTCTAAGCAAGGTGCTCCTGCCTCTGGTCTGACCTCAGGGCCTGCACTCGCCACTGAAACCCTCAGGGCCCTGGTGCTGCCCACCCACCCCCTTCAGGGGCACTCACAGGGCCAAAGCCACCTCCAGCACCCAGGTGATTGGGGTGCTGCTCTGGGTCAAACATGCGGATCTGGGATTGGGGGATCTGGCTGGTGGAGAGACGCCAGGGTTCCGAGAGCACCTGCAATGGAGGCCGCAGCTGGTCAGACGCCACACGCCCAAAGCACCTGTCCGACAGGTGGTGTCTGCGACCTACTCTGAGCCAGGCACTGTTCTGCTGAGGGTGCAGGAGCTCCCTGGCCACCACCCCGTGGTCCCCTTTGCACATGCCACATAAGGCTTGTGTGAGCTGCCCAGCCCCCACTCTGCTCTGCCTCTCCCCGCCACAGCCTCACTAGTCTCAGTAGTGCTGTCACCACCTGACAGATCATACGTTTGTCTGTTCCCTGTCACAAGAACACCAACGACACGAAGAGGATGTTGCTCCCGCTGGGCCCAGGACCGCAGGCCCAGCTGGGGTGTGGGCGGGAAAGCTGGCCCAGCCCTCCAGGGAGCTTCAGGGGAGCCAGCCAGACAGAACACAGGCCGTGCTCCCTCATGAGATGGCCCAAGCCCTGGGTGTAAGAGGGCAGTGGGACAAAGGACACACCCAACAACGGTGCTGACCTCAGCGAGGAAAGGAGAGCTGACTCCCAGGTACTTGGAGACCAAGTAAAGGCAGAAGAGGTGCCTGTCGATCCCTGCCCCGGTCATGGCCAGGCGGTACATATTCTGGTGCTTCTTAGCAGCTTTCTGGAAGAGATCTCGCAGGTCTGCTTTCTGTGGGGCAGAAGTAAAGGGGTGAAGAGTAGCCCTGACCCTCCAGGTGGACAGGAGGCAGACGACCGTGGCCCCCATGCGGGGCAGAGGACACTCACCACGTGGGACTTCTCCACCATAGCCTGCACAAAGGCTGTGGACTCGCTGGTACAGGAACGCACAGTCTCAGTCCGTCCCTCCCGGAACATTCTGGTCATTGAGGCCTCATAGGTCAGGCAGAACTTACCCCTGTCCTGGGATATACAGAGGGGTGAATCTGGCAGGCGGACCCTGGCACCACCCTGCCCTCTCAGCAGCGGGAGGTGGGGCCCTACCCGGAAGTGCGCCAGCTGCAGTGCGATCTGCACAAAGGCATCGGGGCTGGTCCGGCACTTCTTGATGAGGCCTTTGCCAAAGGGCAGGAACTGGAAGCAGTACAGCTCCACATCGTCTGCCAGCGCCTTGGCCACCTGGTAGGAACTCTCGATGACCGCCTGGCACTGCCAAGACATGGGAAGGGTCAGCTGCAGGCAGGGCTCTCCAAGCAGGACTCTGGGTCAC